CCTGGAATAGCCCCTGGAGCTCCCTCAGAGCAGGGAGAGGGACTTGGGGAAGATCCCTGGGATAAACCCTGGAAGCAGCTCCTTGGTTCCCCCCCCAAATTTGGAATCCTCCTGGAATAGCCCCTGGAGCTCCCTCAGAGCCAGGGAGGCACTTGGAGAAGATCCCTGAATCCCCCCAGAGTTTGGAATATCCCTGGAATAGCCCCTGGAATCTCCCCAGAGCTGAGGGATCATCCCGGAGCCCCCAGTTCCCCCGGGGCTGGACTTCCCCCCCCCCCCCCAGATCCAGGAATCTCCCTGGATTTGGGAATCCTGTGGAACCCCTGGGACCAGGAATTTCCCTGGAACCCCCAGTTCCTCTGGAGCCCCTGGAGACGAGGATCCCTCTGGAGCAGCTCCCTGAATCCCCCTGGAATAACCCCTGGAACCCCTCAGAGCCGAGGGATCATCCCAGAGCTCCCCAATTCCCCTGGAGCCGGGAATCCCCCTGGATCCCACCGTTCCCATTCCCACAGATCCAAGTCTCCGCCGCCGCCCGAGGAGGAGCCTCGTGAGGGGGAAGAGGACGAGACCCTCGTCATCCTCGACACCTGTACGGGAATGGTTGGGAATTCTGGGAATTCCCTCGGGGATTTGGGGCCTCCTGGGGGGGGGGGGAACACGACTGGAGGTGGTTTTGGGGCCATTTGAGGAGTTTTAGGGGCATTTCTGAGGAATTTGAGGCATTTTGGGGCAATTTGAGGTGGGTTTGGGAGGAATTGAAGCATTTTGGGGTCAGTTTAAGGTGGGTTTTTGGGACAAATTGAAGCATTTTGGGGCTCAATTTGAGGTGGATTTTGGGGCAAATTGAAGCATTTTGGGGTCAGTTTAAGGTGGGTTTTTGGGGCAAATTGAAGCATTTTGGGGTTTATTTAAGGTGGATTTTGGGACAAATTGAAGCATTTTGGGGCTCAATTTGAGGTCGATTTTGGGGCAAATTGAAGCATTTTGGGGCTCAATTTGAGGTGGATTTTGGGGCAAATTGAAGCATTTTAGGGTCAGTTTAAGGTGGGTTTTTGGGGCAAATTGAAGCATTTTGGGCTTAATTTGAGGTGGATTAATTTGGGCTTAATTTGAGGTGGATTAATTTGGGATTAATTTGAGGTGGGGTAAATTGAAGCATTTTAGGGTCAGTTTAAGGTGGCGTTTGGGGACAAATTGAAGCATTTTGGGGTCTGTTTTAAGTGGGTTTTTAGGAGGAATTTTGGGATCAACTCGTGGTGGATTTGGGGGTAAATTCACCCGATTTTGGGACGATTTTGGTCATTTTTGTGCCCCCCAGACACGTCGGACCTGCAGTTCCGTGCCAGCCGGGACCGTTACGGGGGGCAGCCGCTGTTCCCAGAGAAATTCCCGGGACTTTGGGCCGGTGCCCGCAGCACCCACGGGGTCACCAAGGGCAGGGTCTGCTTCGAGGCCAAGGTGGGCACCGGGACCCCAAACTGGGGGGGAAAAGGGGGAAAAGGAGCCTTGGGAAGGGGGAGGAGGGAGGTTGAGCCTGGGATTGGGGGAGGGAGGGGAACCCTGGGGTGAGTTGGGGGGGGGGGGGGGTTGGGTGGGTTTAGGGCAGTTTTGGGAGGGTTTGAGGGGGGTTTGGGTGGATTTAGGGCTGGTTTGGGGAGGGTTGAGGGGAGTTTGGGTGGTTTGAGTGGGTTTGAGGGGGATTGGGGGATTTGGGGTGAGTTTGGGCATGTTCTGGGTGGGTTTAGAGGAGTTTTGGGGCAGTTTGGGGGGGTTCTGGGTGGGTTTGAGGGATTCTGTGAGGGCTTAGTGCCCCTTTGGGTAAGTTTTAGGCCATTTGGGGGCTTTTTAAGGCCACTTCCCTCCTTTTTACCCCCCCATTCCCGGCTGATCCCGGTTTTCCTCCCTCAGGTGACCCAGTACCTGCCCCTCAAGGAGGGCAGCCCCGAGGTGCCCCTTTTCCGTGTGGGTTGGTCCGTGGATTTCTCCCACTCCCAGCTGGGTAAAAAAAAAACCCCACAGCCTTTTCCATCCCCAAAATCCCCCTGGAATTCCGGGACACCTCCCGACGTTCCGGTTTCCCGGGGTTTTCTCCCATTCCAGGGGAGGACGAGTTTTCCTACGGATACGACGGGCGGGGGCTGAAGGTGGAAAATGGGCAGTTTGAGGAATTTGGGGAGAGTTTTGGGGAGAACGACGTCATCGGCTGCTTTGCGGTGAGGAAAGGAGGAAAATCCGGGGAAAAATGCCCAGAAAGGGGTGGGGAAGGGTCTGGGAAAATTGGGGGGATCTGGAGAAAATCCAGGGGGAAATCCAAAAAAATTAGGGGGAAAAAAAGGGGAATTATTTAGAAAAATGGGGAAAAACATTGGGATAAAATGGGGGGGGAAATCTGGGAGAAATAAGGGAAAGGAGGGAAAAATGGAAATCAATCCAGAAATGTTGGTGGGAAATTATGGAAAAAATTGGGGGAAATCAAGGGAAAAATACAGGGGGAAAAAAAGGAGGAAATTTAGAAAAATTAGGAGAAATATCTGGAAAAAATAGAGAACAGTTTGGGAAAAGGGGGAAAAAAATTCAAGGGGAACAATTCAGAAAAATAGGGGGAAAAGTCTGGGGAAAAACAGGAACAATTTGGAAAAAGGGGGGGAAAAAGTGAAAGGGAGGAAAGGGGGGGGGGGAGAGAAATCCAGAAACATGGATGGAAAACTGAGGAAAAAAATCAAGCAAAAATGGGGAAAATCAGGGAAAAAGAATATGGGAAAAAAGAAAAGAGGAAAAATTCAGAAAAATAAGGAGAAATATCTGGGAAAAACAGGGAACAATTTGGAAAAATGGGGAAAATTCAAGGGGAACAATTCAGAAAAATAGAGGGAGAAATCATGGAAAAAACGGGGAACAATTTGGAAAAAATGGGAAAAATTCAAAGGGAACAATTGAGAAAAATAAGAGAGAGAAATCATGGAAGAAACAGGAACAATTTGGAAAAATCAAGGGGAACAATTCAGAAAAATAGAGAGAGAAATCATGGAAAAAATAGGAACAATTTGGAAAAAGGAGGGAAAACACCTGGAAAAAAAAGAAGTGTGTGGGGCAGATCCAGAAAAACTGGGGGGAAATTTG